ATAGTCGCTCAATCAGTCAATATATACATCACTGACTCAGTACTCAATATATACATCAGTGACTCAGTGCTGAGTAGACAGAGCCTCGTCACCACTGATACATACAATTCCACATAAGGACACATCTCTTTCTCTACTATTAATTATCTCTAGAATTTCTCACTAATGTCAAATTATCCCCTCAACTATCAATTTTATTACACATACATCCTTACAGTGTCAAATTCAACAAAATCTTCTACATTACGTGGAATATTCTCTAGTCTGTACTCGTTTTGTGCAAAATGATATTCACAATCCAAAATCTACATCTTGTTTCAAAACATGCATGGAGTTCGAATAGTATAAAATCGATACTTGATTCAACACTTTAGGGAAGGATGTGTAAGAAGATTCGTAGTTGTTTGGGTTTGTTTTGTAATTACATATATAACAGAGTGTTTTTTTTCGTAATTTCACATTATCAGATGGAGTGACCATAATTTACCGATTAAAGTATAACACACCATACAAACTGGGGCAGCCCAATAATGCAAAGGCCTATATATAGTACGTGCCAATTGGGCTTCCAAATTATTTAATTAAAGACCTCCTACGAAGTCCAACTAGCTAATTCTATTGTTGGTCCAAAACTTGTAAAGAATTATTTTCAATGCAATTAATTTACACCAACATAAATAAATTCAGCTACACTAATTCATTTGTTGTTTAATAAATCAAATTGTTACATACACACACACACATGTGTGTGTGTTTCATACGGCCTCTCGAACCTTGGAAGTTGGAACCGACCATGCAATACGAACAAGGTGACTATAGAAGTACTCGACTAATATATTATTGCTCTTTATTTCGTAAATCATTATGTTTCCTCCATCTAATTAAATAAAAACAAATATAGGATAAAATAAATCTAAAACTCGTAAATTATTCGTATTTTTATATATATACTAACCCTCAATACACTTTCTTTTGGCTTTTCAATCGTGTTAGTGTAGATCTACTACGTGCTCCAATATTATGTCCTTGCAACGAAGATTTTTCACTGCTTATCGTTTCTTCATCTGCCCATTCCTCTCTAGTCATTAACGACTGTTGATAGTATTTGAACGCCACAAATAACATGAACACTGCATATCGTACGTATATTTCATAAATTAAATATATATGATATATCTAAAACAACACTTGTAAAAAATTAAATACAACGTTGAAAATATTATTACACGTACCTGCCCATATTCGAGCAACGACAGACGACAAATTCCAAACAAGGGTGAACAATGCAAACCCTACTGCTTTCTTGTGAGAACATGACTCCCAAGCATCCCTAAATCGTCGAATCCAAAATGTACCTTCATAAAAACATTAATAAGAAAATATAATCCAGTAATAATAATAATAATAATAATAATAATAATAATACGCCCGCAAAAAAATGTACTTTTTAAACGGTACAATAATAATAATATAATTTTTTCACTCGTATGATAAATCATGATGGACAAAAAAAATTCTGATCAATTCCCGTAAAAATATAGGGTAAATTACAACCACCACCCTGAGGTAAGGTCTATTTATGGAAAAACCCCTCATTTTTACATAAACCTCCTGCAATTTGTAGATTTCTTACATCAACACCTTTCTTTTGTAGTGGAGTGGAAATAAGAAACTTACAAATTTCAGGGGGGAATATGTCATTTTCTCAAAAATAAGGGATTGTTTTGTAATTACACTTTACTTCAGGGAGGTGGTTGTAATTTACCCAAAAAATATTATATTTTAAAAAAATTCACTTCCCTTCAAGATTGATTCTTTTGGATCTACCGTTCTGCTTTACTACCCAAAAGAGCCGTTGGTTACAATCAGATGAGATGGTGGACCCCACACTACCACTCAGTACCATAAATTGACAGGTGGTGTACTGTAAGTTCCGTGATCTAACTTGTACGCTATCATGTTCCCCAAAATGTGAAAATATTATTATTTTATTACTAGAGAGAGATATGGGGATGCAAAAGAGAATTACATAAAATTCAGTGCCTGTAATAATATATTTGTAAGAGTTATTTATTTGTTTACCGTATGCAGTTAACTGAGAAGAGTAGGTAGAGCAGATTTTTGGCACTGTAAAAACTCCAATAAAGCCTGTCACATTTCATCAAATTATTTAATTATTAGCTACTTTGAGAAAAATAATAAATAAATCAAATTAATTAATTATTTAGAATAAAACAATAAAATAATGGTAAAAATTGCAGACCTAATTTGGCCATCTTCCAGACTGTAATAGAGCTTCCACACCGAGCCAAAATAAACAGAAGCACTGCCAACTGCAAGATAACTTGGTCAAAAATTTCAACTCAATTTCAAAATAATAATTTTAGGTAAATTACAGCCACCCGGTAAAATAAAATTGCGAAAATGCCCTCGTATCTGGATGATCAGAATCAATTCATAAACTATGAATCTTCTTACATAATCACCTTTATGGTGTTAAATTTAACAAAATCTTCTAGATTATGCGGAATGTTTTGTGAAAAAGTACAGTAAAATCTGATATTGTTTCAAAATATGGAGTTCGAATAGGATAAAACGGATACAAACTAGAGAATATTCCACATAATCTTGAAGACTCCACTAAATTTGACAATGCAATGGTTAACGCGTAAAAAGATTCGTAGCTGAGAGGGTGGTTGTAATTATCCAAACAAATAGGGGTTTTCTCGTAATTTATCCCGACTTCATGGGTGGACGTAATTTACCCAAAAAATAAAAAATGAGAAAAAATACCTTCATTGTGGTGGAAGGGTCCCCTGAAAAAAGGGCTCTCAGTTTCAAGAGAAACTCATTTAAATAAGGCAGAAATAATTTTACTGCCCAAATTGCTTCTTCTTCTCCAACAACAAAATCTTTATTTTTTGCATTATTCATTTCTAGTGATCCCCTGTCAAATTCAAGCCAATATATAAAAAAAAAAGAGATTTAATTTTTGATTTATTAAAGTCATTAAATACTAAATATACTTAAAATAGTTAAAACAGTTATAAATTACCTGTTAATGAGGGATCTGAATAGGAAAATTGCAGCAAGGTATACAAGGCCTAAGTAAGAAATCACTGAAATAAAGCTGCAAAAAGAGAAAATTAATAATTAAAAAAACATTTTTTATTGAATTAATCAGCTGAAATTAGATGGTTTTTGGGAAAACTACACATTTTACCCCTCAAGTTTATACTGATTTCATATTTAGTTCCCATGTTTACAAAAAACATATTTGGTCCCTCATGTTTACATAATTTAGAAGTTTTGGTCATTTTCGTCAATTTACCTTTACTCCGTCAGTTAATGCAGTGACGGACACACGCTTGATTCCGTTAGTACTAACGAAAAATTGACGAAAATAACTAAAAGTATTGATTTTTTTTTAAATGAGGGATCAAATATATTTTTTTTTTTGAACATGGGAGACAAAATACGAAATTAGTGCAAACTTGATGCACCAAAACTGTATTTTTCCCGATAGTTTGTAATTAAAGAGTTGAGATCAAGAAAACTAACCTGATGTTGAGATCCTTGGTGTAAGAAGATGAAACAATAGCAAATGTTCCAACCCCAAATACAAATGCTGATTTTGATGCATCTCTCCACATTACAAGATCAACTGATATCATCAAAAATGAAATTATAATTAAAAAAAAATAATAAAAAAACAAGAAATTAATGCAAGTGGAAGAACTACTTACCAAAGCTTTGTAGTTTGCTATTGGTTCTTGAAACACCATGGAAATGATCTGCAGCTAGGGCCAAAAACAAAAAATTAAAAAATAATAATTAGAAAAAAAAATAATAAAAGATTTACAAAATTAAAAATTACAATGGAGGAGATAATTAATTAATTAATTACTTGGAATGGTTTTTGTATGATTTACAGGAGGAGGAGGAGAGTGTTTCTTTAAATTCTGAACTTGCACTTTAATTTCTTTAATATCAAGACTCTTCTTTTCAACCTCAATTTCCATATCTTCATCTTCATCATCGTCAATGTAATCATCGGACGGTGGAATTTTAGCCGGGCCCACATCGCTTGTGATTGACTTCTCCTCGCACACACCAAACTCCTCATCAGATCTCGATTTCTTGACCCCAATTAGGGTTAGGGTTTTCTTTTCCCCAATTCCCCCAATTGGGTTCTTGTCTGCTGGCATGCCATCGCCCACCGCTGTTTCCGCTTTCGATTCCCCATCGGACGGCTCAGATTTCACCTTCCTCAGCTCAATTTCAGCACTGGATCTCGTTTTCTTGATTAAAACAGGGGTTTTCTTGATCCCAACAACTCCATCGCCGGAAAAGGTCAATTCTTTGCTGCTTTCGTCGGAATTCTTGGTGGAATCGGATCTCTTCCTGGCAATTTGAACTGGGCTCCCCTCAGAATTGTCAGATTTCCATGTTTTCCTCTTGCCGCTCACCCCCACAGAAGTAGGGCTCTGTTTGGCCCTCGCATTTTCTGTTTTTTTATTATCCATCTGAATTTCTGGATTGTTCACAGTAGTAGTGTTGTTGTTTTCCAGGTCTGGAGTTTCATTGAAGACTTTGAAGCCACCTTTGACTTGGTCGAGCTTCATTCTGGTTTCCCAAACAGAACCTGCTTTTGGGGCACTGCCTCTTCTTCTACTGCCACTACTGCCACCCAAATCCATTGCTTCTTTAGTACTACTCATTTCTTTTTTATTTAATTTTCTTGAAATTGAAATTAGTACACACACACACACACTGTGGACCCAATTGTTGCAATGCCCCTATTAATGGAGTTGTGGTAGCTTTGAGCTCAAGGAATTATCACTTGCTGTTATGATAAGTCATGTACCATTGGGATTCCTCCCCACACACACACACTCACTGTGTGAGAGAGGTAGTAGAGAGAGAGAGAGAGAGAGAGAGAGAGAGAGAGAGAGAGTGTGTGTGTTTAATGCTCTTTCTCTACGTCTCTTTGCTTATGTTGGAATTTGGATGACTCTGTGTATATATTTAGTATTTTTTTATTTTTTATTTTTGGTAACGATGGAACTCGCGGTTTGATTGTATAGGTGCACTGAATAAATTTATAATCTTGTTTAATAGTTTGCAAATTATACGAAAGACGTACACTACACTAGGTTAATTATGTGTGACAAGTTTTATTTAACGATTGGGTGACAATGGAATTTGAGATTGGGTCAATTGAGACAAATTCACTTGCTACGATAGTTAGACCGTTACTTACGGGACCGTATGTTGTATTTTATAGTGTTTTACTTTTGTTGTTTTATAAATAGTCTTCTTGTTGATTTAGCACATAGTGGGGTCTTAAATGGATAGTTACAATTTACAAACAATTAGGATGGACTTTTCATCCCTTTAAAATATTCTTTTTTTTTTTTTTTTGCTTTGTGAAGATCTTTCTAATATTGTATGGGATCCTCTAGGTCAGCCTGCAGCAGCAGCGTGCCCTCCGTCTGGATTTATTTTTGAGTCT